CTCCAGCCTGTCAAAGTCCCTCTGGATGGCATCCCTTCCCTCCAGCATGTCGACCACACCACACAGCTTGGTGTTGTCAACAAACTTCCTGAGGGTGCACTCGATCCCACTGTCCGTGTCACCGACAAAGATGTTGAACAGTGCTGGTTCTGGTACTGACCCCTGAGGAATGCCACTCATCACCGTTCCCCACTTGGACACTGAGCCATTGACCACAACTCTTTGAGTGTGACCATCCAGCCAATTCCTTATCCACTGGGTGGTCCATCCATTGAATCCACGTCTCTCCAATTTAGAGACAAGGATGTCATGTGGGAGGGTGTCAAATGCCTTGCACAAGTCCAGGTAGATGATGTCAGTTGCCCTTCCCTTATCCACTGACGCTGTAACCCCATCATAGAAGGCCACCAAGTTTGTCAGGCATGATTTGCCCTTAGTGAAGCCGTGTTGGCTGTCACCAACAACCTCCTTATTTTCCATGTAGATGAATGGCTTTGATGAAAAGGGTATAAACATTGTCTTTGAAAGCAAATACTGAATAAAGTTTCAGTTGCTCATTTTGGTTAAAGATGACAAATTGGTTCAGTCTGTCTGGCAATAAAAGAACCAGCTTTCGAACTTCCAAAATCCGTAAACAGTAACACATAGATGATGATCTATATTTATGATGTTCAAACTCCGAAACAACATAATTACTACGTGAGAAAATACTAAAAAGAACAACAAAAACCCCCTGTATACATGGCATCTGAAAGCGTCAAACAAAAATGGAAACCAGCCAGAGGGAAGAAAAAAGGAAGGAAAATCCCAACCTGACAGACTGTACGAATACTGTTTTTTGCAGAATCAATCTGTTTTGGAGGCTGCTTGATTCTGGCAGCTAGAAATTGCTTAATGAGCCATTAGAAGCACAGGATTTGCCGCATCAGGGAAGCCCATTTTTTTATCTAGTTTAGTACTCTGACTACACCTGAGGCTTTGGAGGAAGATGAAAAGAACACCCAGGGCATTCTGCTACAGCCGCCCGTGAACAGGCTACCCAGGGAAAACCCCATCTGTCCCACGAAAGGAAAAAAGTAAAAAAAAAAAAAAAAAAAGGAGAGGAAAACAATTATGTTTTTACTGCAGGATACAATTTGAAATGAAATAAATACTTCTTACGCTGAAAAATGCTGTCCTGGGTCCCAGAGCAATGCTATTTCTTCCCAGGACTGATGCTGATCTGCGATTGCCCGAGGGAGTTAGCACCAAGCTTTGCCTCATGACTGCATTTCTCAGTTGTGTTTCTACAGTCCTGGTCTAAGCATCGTGTAAAAGGAGCATATTCAGCAAGAGAAAATTGCTTCCTGATTCCCATAAGCAATCTGCACATGACTCAGCCATATGATTTAATTACTTTCATAATCTTAGCTTGTATAACTGCCACTGTTATGAAATTCTGTAATGGTCATTAAACAATCCAGCCAGAGCATGTGGTTTGACAGCTCCCGATGTTCACAAATAGGTTTGACAAAGGACCTAAACAGCACTTCATTTCAGCAAAACTGATGTACGACCATTTCACACTAAAGCCACTTATGCTCAATTACATCATAAAACGGAGTGTCTGGACAGGCTTCACTGTGTTCTCTATGATATCAACTGACAAACCACTAACTCCTCCTTCTGAGGACAAACCACCCTGAGGTTTTGGTGCTACTTGTTTGCATAAGCACTGTTGTCCTTTCAACATCTTCTGATCTCTAGTAGATCTTTCCAAACTATGTTACAGTTCTTCAAAGGCTGTAAGATCCAAGTTACCTTTTAAATTAAAGATAATCTAAATGCACCTTTGTGGCTTGCATCTCTCAGTCTGATTGTACCAGAAGGTCTTAAGAATCTGCTGACTCCAGAGTCTACTGAGGAATATGTACGTGTACACACATACCATCACGGCTCTCTCAGCCACCGCTTTTCAGGTCTTCAGTGCTTTTACTGCTATTTTTGGTAACTATTCTACATAAAATGTGGCAGTAAAAAAAAATCCATTTTTGGATTGTTAATATTAAAGAAAAAGACAAATTGGGGGAAAAGCACAGGCAAGCAAGCACAATTAAAATGAAAGTCCCAAGACCCGTATGGTAGGAAGCCCAATTTACCCAAACCATACAGACAAACCATCTGTCAAAATCTGGCAGTACTTGACAGAAGACATATAATACAGTGGATTTAAATGTGACTGTAACATTGCTTTGTCTCAGGAAGACAAAAAGGAAGTTATTTATACCTCTCTCGAAAAGAATTTGCTAAGTCTCCAAGTGAAAAAAGAACTTTTTTTTAAACTAAATTATTTCTGTTATCATTTCTGCCTCTGAGATAATTTTTAACATATACTATGCACAAATCCTTTGAGAAGTTCCTGGATGGAATTTGCCTTATATGCTTTAAAAAGAAGAGAGAAATGTTATTGCTGATAACTGTTTGCATACACTTCATCTCATCCACTCAGAAACAAAATATGATACAGTTACAACAGCCACTGCATGGACAGGTGCTCAATATTTGCACTCAAGGACCTATACTGATCCTTGGCAGACTCCCAGCCAGTACAAATTTCAGAGTCTCATCTGAGAAACCTCAAGTTCTCACAGTTAGAAAACCTACAAAAAACTGCAGGTACAATATAGGCTAACTACTAGTGGCAGGCAAATCCTGGTAGTGATATTTAGGAGCTGAACAAGGAGATTTTTTTCAGCTGGGATGGGCAAGAATGATGCTCAGCTCCCAGTATGAAAAAAGAAGGACCTAAACTCATTGGGAGCCCTTGTGCCAAGGGAATCCCAGTTTTCTGGAACAGAAGACATCTCTGGGGAAGATACACCCGCACCCTTTAGCTTTAGGACCATTTGCAGGAATTAGCATTGACCTATTTGGTAAGTCTGGGCTTTCTAGGTTGCATGAAGGTAATGGAAAAGAAAAAAGGTATCCCTGTTGTTCAGAAAACCTCAGATAAAAAGTTAGCACTCACCTAATGCATTAGTGAGTAGTCACACCTGCCCTGAATGCACTAAGTACCTGCTTTTAGTTTACTCTCGCCTGGAAAGAAATGTTTCCATTTTGTTCTGAGAGTTAGAGGATGCCAAGTCTTCTCAGGCTAATGTCACAAAGCCCAAGTCTGTTGGGCTGGAGTGATGATTTTTAGTCACTGCATGGACTGAAATAAAAGCTGATTAAAATTCTTACTTTGTTGGGAGACTTTCATGTAATCTCCCTGGATCTCCGATTGCTTTCTTAATAATGTTGCTGATGTGTCTCTATCTGCATTTGTTGGTGCTGGGAGACTTGTTCTGCCATGATCCTTCAACAGTCTTAGTTGGAAGGCACTGATGTAACTGACCCACTATTTCCTACCAACAATATTAAAAAAAACCCCTCTCAAATAACAAAATAAAAACTGTACATGCTTTGTAAAACAAAAGAGCTAATAAGCTAAATCAGCCTGAAGGCCAAAGGATCTAATATATACACCCAGCACATGTGGTTGTGTCACAGGGGATGAATCGTACCTGTTGTGTCCCTATAAGAACAGAGATGGTCAGGCATTTTCCAATGACAGTGTTTCACTGAACCATGAGCTTAGGTTAAATGAGAAGTCTGGCGGCTTTGTTCGCCACGGAGGTTTGATGAAACTTTTGCCTGGAAGGGTTTGAAAACAACCCGGTTGCTCCTCCTGGACATCAGAGGTTCAGACCAAGGTCTCTGCTCTGTCTGATTCAGACCAGAAACACTCACTTTGGTCCCGCACACCACAGGGGACCATCTTGGCCACCAGGCTACTGACTATTTCTCACGGCTCCCTCTGTGTTGTGTTTCCTGTCAATTATAAAAACTCACTGTCCCAGAGAAGCAGACTGGAACCATGTTCCACCACGACTTCACCTTTCCTGACCCTAAGAAATGACACATACAGTCTTCAGTTTGCTTGACATGCGATTGCTGTGCCATAGCACTGGTGGCACTGAAAGGCTGGCCGACCCCCAACATCAGCGCTGATCCCACCACGTGGTGCGTAAGGCCAGGAAGGGTCACCAGGAACCCAGCACCACAGTGCCTCTGGGTCACACTGTGCTCCTGGAAAAGCAAGTCCCAACTGCCAAATGCACGCATACACATCACTTGCTAATCCTCCACCCGTTCTGGCCTCTTGAACTAGTCACTGTCTCAACTCAGCCGCTGGCGCTGCACCGACTCTTGTCCATCTGCGGCTTGGGCAGAGGGGTTGATGAACTGCTGAACTGAGAACAGCTCCCTGAGGAAGCTCCTCTCCTGGAAAGGAGGAAACCCCAGACTGTCAACTGCAAAAGCTTTCACTTACCACCTGGCCAGTCCAGGCTCAGGGATGGTAAGGAAAACGTGTGCCAATTTTGATTTGCCTGCTGTGAATTAAGATTTGGCATAAAGCATGGAATAGCAAAGAACTCCAGCCCTGAAATTTTAACTGAGGACAAAGATGAATGCTGCAGCTTCTTTGAGCCTCGTTGCAGAACTTCTGTACTTAAGAACTGTAAAACATGAAGCTTTTTACATCTATTGACCTTGGGTTATAAAGGACAATACTTCTTGTACTAGCTGCTGCACTGTGAATATTCAAGCCAGTTTGAAGAGCCAGCTGCAGAACATCTCAGTGAACCTGAAAAGCACAATGTCTCTTTAGAGCACATCATTAACGCAGCATAAATTAAGGTCTTTCCAATGAACAATGATTAAGTGGACTGAACACTGAGAGGACCATGATAACTTAGCAAGATAGCAATAAGTTCCTTTTCTGGAAGATATTTTACATTTTCTTACAGTTAACACTTATAATTCTGAATTTTTGTGTGTAATATTTTGAGTCCTGCTAGAGATCAGAAGGACAAGTCTGAAGAGAGAATGTCACTTCAAGTACATACAAAAGACTTGGGAAAATTCTTCATGAGCAAGTGAATTTCCTGTAAAGCAGCACAAGGATTTCATCCAACCTGGAGCCTCCAAGGTGGGCTCCCCTGGGTGCTCGGGGACCTCTCGTCTTTTGGTCCCTGTTAAATGGGGCAAACGCAAAAAAAAATCACACAGAAACATTATTAAAAGATTAAATGAACAGATGAAATGACCAAGGTAACAATCAAACATATGAGTCATGGTAGTTGACAAGTCCTGATCAAAAATGTTTCTTGGCTTAGAAAGAGAAGGGTTTTGTGGGCTGGGGGTCTAGTGAGTCAGAGCACACTTCCTCCTTAGTGCCCCTGCAGTGAGGGCCAAGAAGCTCCTGCTGGTTCCACCCCCGGATGAGTGTCTGAGTACTGCTTTGGAAAGATTACAAAATGCACAAAGTATAGCAGAAAGGTAACAGCTAGTGACTTCTTGCGAGGAGGGGTACATCATTCTGTACAATTTCAGTGACTTACATGGAGTGACACTTGTAACCATGAATAGAACTTAAGCATGTATTTTTCATTCCATTTCAACTGCAATAAAAGAAATTATTCTTTACAGTGAAAGAGCACAAAAGGCAAGTTTCCCTGTCTATTCACTTGTTTTGACATCTTTTGAAATTTTCTCTCAATATATTTTTACTGACTACATGTATTAACTGATATTTGTTTTGATACAGATGAACAAGAGAGAATCTGACATCAAATCCATCTCAGTTCAGCTACACAGACCATGTGATGAGATTCCTGACACATCCGCTGACTGGATTGAACGTGCTAACTGTGAAAAATGGTCGCTACCAGTTGAAAGTACAGATGACTCTTCTCAACTGTTAGAATTATATCCTGCAGTCACAAATATATTTTGAAAAGGCAGAACTGAGCATAAGCTAGAATAAATTATCAAGTAAACAAACTACATTCCAGCAAATGTTTTACAAAGGAAATTTCCTGATTTGAAATATTAAAAAAAAAGGAACCTTTAGATATGCACACCTACAGAAAAAACCACCTCTTAAGAGAAGAAGCAAAGCTCATTTTATATAAAAGTACTATTTACAGAATTAAAAACCACAATAACTTTGTTATTTCATCATTTCTTATTAAGATGAAATAACTATCATCTTAAAACACAACAAGATGTTTTAGGACATACATATAAAAAAAGCCAGATATTTTCCCCACTCAAAAAATCATTCCTCATTTTAGCTTGCAGGAGTAGCTGCTCACCTAAAGGTTTCCTAAAGTCTTTCAACAGATCTGAGCTTCTCAACTTGATTCTCTAATCATCAACTCTGAAGTCTTGATCTCAAGAATTTGTGACATCTAAGTGCAGAACTGACACTTTTCTTTCTACCTTTGAGCCTTTTCTAAGACAGAATGCCTTTTTGCTTCTGTCCTAACACTCCAGTTATTCTCATTTTCAGCTGCCCTTCCAAGTACCTTCTTCCTTTTTGCATTTGCCAATGTTTTTCAGTTCAGTTCCTAAGAAGGTCTTTCTGCTTCCCTCTCAGCCAAGAATCTCTCTTTCCTTGTCCACTTGGAAGTTTCACAGAAAGTTGCTTCTTTCCATTCATCTATCTCAATATGAGAAAGAAAAAGGTTTTCCTCTTCCTAGAAAAAACTGAGCCTGGTCTGCAATCATCCTGTGTCATGGCAGAGACTGGACCTGATGCTTACTCTCCTTTGAAGTCCAAGATAACCTAGAATAATAGCAAACTACATGCTTCTTAACACAAAGAGCAAACCTTCAAAATGCAATATATGATACAAATGTCCTGGAATTGTTTTAGTGGAGTAGTGTGAGCACCCTACTGAAAGCCATTAAAAAAAAAAAAATCCTAAATAACATCAATGACCTAGAAAATAAATGCAAAATAGCATGCTGACTACTCACCAAATGTCAGATTTTGTGTTATATCCCTGGTGCTTCAGTGCTTCTGGACTCATGTAATATGGTGTCCCCGTAAATGTAGTGGCCAGATCACATGAACCCATCAAAAGACAAGAAACTCCAAAGTCCCCTAAAAGTAAGAGCAGAAACAATAATCTATTGATATAAACTGTTTGTGTTTATTGTTAGACACAATACAATGACTGTACATCAAAAAAACCCAAACCTGCCAGTATTTTAAAATATGGAAAAAAACAATTTTCTGTAATTCTTCAAAATAAAACCACCACAAAATCATAGAACTATGGAATGATGTAAGTTGGAAGAGGCCTCACAAAGTCATCTGATTCAAACTCCTGGCTCAAAGCAAGGCCAACTTCAAAGCTACATGAGGCTGCTCAGGTCCAGGTCCAGCCAAGCTTGGAGCACCTTCAAGGCTGGAGACTTCACGGACTCTCTGGGCCCCTGTTCCTCTGTCTGACTGTCAAAATAAATGTTTGACCACAAAAAGGCTATATCAGGCATGACTTTATATAAATCTCCTTATTGACAAAATGTCTGCTGGTCTGTTCTATCATACCAAAATATATCTTTAAAAAGTACAGAAATCTCACCAATTTTAAGAAGATTATTTTTCAAAAATATATTCTTGGCTTTCAAATCTCTGTGAAGTATCCGCCTGGAATATAAAAGGAAATTCAACCTCATCCAACTTGAAGCATTCACAGTCACATATCAAGTATCTCAAATATTCGATGGCATTAAGGACCTCCATATAAACACAGAGGTGCATTCACAGACACCCACATGCAGGATGACAGCCAAAGCAGCCAGGATAATAAAAAACGAACCCAGGGATCCCAGCTTGAGAATACAGATACAGGCTTAACATGAGCTGCAGAGGAAGGGAGAAAGGCAAGTCTTCTTTTCTGAATCTTCTTAAAAACATTACATCTTATTTCCTACCAGGAGAATGAGATGTTTCACAATAAAATAAGGGATGAGAAAAACAGCAATAAGACTCTGAAAGCTCAGGGAACTCTCCTTCAGAGAAAATGCATTACTTGAAAGACAAATATGTATATAGACTAGGGTAGTAGTTCAAATTTTTACAGTAATGGTGTGGAAGATAAAAGAACTTTACAAAGACAGAGATCAAAAGGAAAAGAAAAAGAACAACTAGCTTTTACAAATTTATTTTTTCCGTCAAAGATTGAAATAACATCATAAGCTACACACTATGTGGGGACAAACATGATCTCAATTTCTTGAAATCTTAATGTGTGACAGTAATTCTCCATCCCCTTAGGAAAATAAAATATCTCTTCAGTATGTAAAACATGTTCTCAATTAATTCTTGTTAATAACACTTCCAAAAGGGTTCCCTACAACCTCAGCTAAACTAGAACTCACTCACTTTTAAATAGCATGATAACACATAGTATTAGTTATCAGCTCTGCTCAGGAGGAGGTTAGAATAGCATTTGGTACATACTGGCTGCAGAAACTGTATTTGCTAATACAAGTGCAGCAGTCGTTCAGCCATTTAAAACAGGTAAAGCAAGCAAATGATGCTCGACGATTCTGGAGATGTAGGCAGGAAAAACAAATATAGTAATAGATTTTAACTGTTCTTGAACAATCCTCAAGTATTATCTAAAATTTCATTGAATTATTAAAGTCTTATGCATTGAGATACTGAAATGATTTCTGAAATAGTTACTGTATTAAGACCAGAAAATACATATTCTACAGCACAATTTAAATAAGCAATTTAGTCCACAACTCATTTGAAAATAATTTTTGCAAGAAGAGAAAAAAAATTATTAAATTCAGTATACTCAGTTCATAAGTGGGGAAAAATGTGAAAAATAACTACTGGAAGACATCGTAGTAAGCACATAGACTGAGCATGAAAAGGAAACATTTCTATTTTTATGGGACATAAAGAGTTCTTTATGCTTCTTAAGGCAATCTTTCCAGTTTTTGTCCTGCAAGTAATGCTTGTAGAAAAAGGTTTGCACATTGGGAAAAATGGAAGTTTTATTCAGCTTGCCTCTGCTGATGTTTATAAATGATTTGTTCTCTATTTGGCAACTTTCTTGAGCAATCCATGTACACTCATCATACATTACATCAGTAAGGAAATTAAGCTAAGGTGATATTCAGTATTATTTCATAAGCCTATATATACACATAGTTTTACATAAATCTTGCTCTCTTAATTTAGATTCATAAAGTCTTCCCTTACCATTCACCACATGGAACCTTGGAAAGAACTTGCCTTCACTAAGTTAGATCTTTCTTGCATGTTGTTGTTGAGCATTGGTGGGTTTTAACCTTTTTTGGTTTTATTATTACTTTGTAGAAATACAACCATGGACTCTGAACCTAAAAGTTTCCTGGATATCTGTGATTTGAATAACAGGTATCTTGAAGTATAAAAAGTATCCAGAAAGCTTTCAGTAGCATATTATTTGAAAAAGAGATGAAGATAAGATTTGTGGGTCACATCATTAGTTTGAATTAAAATGTAATGCTAATATAAGCTTGCCACATATTGTTGAAAATGTTATGCACATTATTTTCATTACCAATAATTATAAGATGCTTTTATATATTAATGACTAAGAAATTGGGGTGATTCTTTGGAACTTCCCATTATGAAGTCTCTCAATGCAAGACACCTTATTCTGCTGGGATATGTCAGAAGATAAACAAGTTAAAAGCTGAAACCTTAACTGAAACAACTATTTCAATTCTAGTAAGAAATAAATATTGAGCCTGCACTGTAAATCCATGTTAAGAAAAAAGCGTGACTTTTTGTTGTAGTAAAAGACAAACCTATAGAGGTAACATGAATTAACTGGGCTCTAGCAAAACTTAACCTAACTTGACAATCAGTGAAGTGGTTAGTGATATTTTGGGTGGAAATGAACACTTAAGGATAGTTTCAAATTTGAGCTGTAAATATACCCATACCTATGTTCTATAGAGTACCTGCTTGCTGCCTCACTGTCATAAAAAAGCAGCACGAAGCACTGAGCACTGGGCAGCTTCCTTGAATAAAGCTTCCTCCGCAACATACCCGCAGGTGAAGCTGATCGAAGCTCAAGTAGTTTGCTGCTGTGAAATATTCAGCTATTAATTTCTCTTTCCTCTATCTGAAGAACTGTTTTGAGAAGTAAGAGGTTCTGGGTAAGTCTGAGTCCTGCACTTTGGAAGAAAATGTGAAATCCAGATAAAGTACTTGGGCAAAGCCTGCTATTCTGTAGATTGAAAGTAACAGATTTTTTTGCATAAACTCTAACCTTATAAAAATCTCTGTGCTGGCATATTGTTCATAAAGATTAGCAAAGTGATGGATAACATAATGGTCAGGTTTATTCAAATTGAGGTTAAATGAATCAATGGCCTCATTGCCCAGTTGCTGTGGGATCAATTTTGTGCACTGATGTGCAATGGGCTACAAGTATGCCAGAGAGACTAGATGATGGTTTCATGCTAACTGTCTCCCCAGCTAGACAAAAGCACTCAACTATGTGCCCGCTCCTTTACTTCTCCCTCTGGTTATATCAATGACAGATGAGGACTGAATCTATTTAATTCTAGAGAACTTCGTTTTCAAGTTTAAAATTAAAAAAACCTTTCCAGTTATGCAAAATAGCCAGTAGATAGCATAATGACCACAAGATATTCATGCCTCCTTTGGGATTATTGAAGCATAAGTAGAAGTCAGGAATGGCTAATCTGTATAATCTTTATTATCACAGGAAAAAAACCCCCAACAATCTGAGGCAGTGAAAAAGTCCTGTTTTAAAATAAGTTCCCAGCATAGTTTTCCAAAAGTACAGAAGTTCAACAAAAGCTGTGCAAGAAGGACAACCAAGTGAATACTCTATGTCTAAAACCAGAAATAATAATTTTGGCTGCTCTGGAATAAAAACTCCCATCCACAGCAACTGAATTTTCTAAGGAACGGCATGAGGAAGTCCAGCCCACAGGTAATGAACACTTCAAGCTTTTAATTCTAGGGAAAAGTTTTCTTTGCATTAGAACATAGTTCAAACATATATTACAGGTTTTTTTCCTATCAGTAGAGAAGAAATCATGTATAACTCCTTTATACAAAACCAGAGGGCTGTTACGTTTTAGTGATTCAAATTAAGTTCTGTAAGTAGTTTTAAATTCTTTTAAGCCTAACCTTTTCCATTTAAGCTATTGTTTGGGTCTAAACAAATAAGATAAAGATAAAATTTTCTAATGTGCATACAGTCAAATAACACATATTACAATACAGGAAATGCAAATAAAAACTGTCAAGTCATTTGTTTGTGTCTGGAGAGGTCCTATTAAATAGCTATGATTAAAAGAGAGAAAATGAAATGCTGTTTGGAAAATCAAATCACTGCTTTCACTGGAGAATTAAACAACATTTCAGGAAACCCAGTAATTTAATATATGCATTTAACAAAGAAAGTTTATTTGTAAGATTTAAAAAAAAAAAAATTAAGAAAAAGTAGAAGATGAGAAACATAGAGGAGTAGACAAAAGGGATGTATGGGAAAACAAGAGATAAGAGAGACACGAGGAAATACAGAAAATGAAAGACAAAAAGAGTAACTTATACAATTGAACAGAATAATTCAGTTGGAAAGGACCTACAATGATCATCTAGTCCAACTGCAATGTTGTTATTATTCTGCATTAGTCTGCACAGTGCATCCTCTAAATACATACATTAAAGAAAGGATTTCACCAAAAGTGGACTTTCCAGATTACCAAACCTTTAATGATACATTGTTAAGTTGGAGTTTGAGAAGGAAAAAAAAAAAAAAGCTGCTAGTTTAGTTTAACGGACAGGATTTTTATTTCCATTTCCCCCGTCCTTTCAGCCTGAGGTGAATGCTGAAGAGCACAGCATCCCAGAGAGCTCTCTTCACTGTGCTCCTGTCACTGCAGGCTGTGGGGGCGGCACTTCACGTACAAGCCCCAGATAAATTGGCATTTAGGAACCAAAATGCTCTTGCATCCTGGACAAGAATTCACTCTGCCCTTTTCCCTCTACAGTCTGACACTGTAGGTGCATAATCTCATCAGGCAACTATCAGTTTAGATCAAACCTATCCCACGTACTTATCTTCAGCTCAACTCAGAAATGGTTGTTCTTGGTGACAGGTGACTTATCTCTACCTACTGTTCTGTTGCAACTCAAGTTCAGGCAAAGAAAATTGGCCCAAGGCCTGCTGTGAAAGATATTTGAAACAGCTACATCAATTTGATGCTTTCACCAAAATCTCGTTTTCTGAGTACTCATGCAGAATAGAAGACTATGGATTCTAACCTACATTCAGCTTGAAAAAAACCTGAATTCTCATCTCCAGATTCTGGGTGTAACCTACTCTTCAAACATAAATATCTTCTCCCCCCCCACCCCCCCCCGCCATCACA